TCAACAACTTCTTCCGAAGTAGCCAATGCACTACCTCCGCCCTCCATTCCTTCCATCAGGGTTCCTACCCGTCCCGGTCCGTTAGCAATGGGGGCCGCTGCGACCCGTTGTTGCGGGGGCCGGTGGGGGCAATCACGAGCTAGATGCCCTGGTTGATGGCACGCATAGCAGACGTTCAGATTGCTTGCGGCCCCTCCAAGAGCAGGTGTCAGGGCTAGCCCTTGTTGGATTGGGTTGACGCGTACTGCGATGGGCCGCATATTTCTCATCATAGTCTCCAACCGAGCGTTATGCTCTCGCTGTTCCTTTTTGCTTTCCCGGATTAGGCTAATTAGTGTTTTGGTCAGTTCAAAAATAGCAGTGGACTCATTTGACCTCACAAGATTCTCAATCGGTGGTGAGGGTGCCGTCATTACAGGTGTTGGCATCACAGGAAGAGGGACACTCGTGATCACACTCGGGGCCGGTCGTTTAAGGGCTATTTGATCCAGATAGGTGACTGAGCCAGACACAAATCCCATGTTCTCGAACTTGTTTTGCAGCGCGGCCAGCTCAGCTTTTGCCCTCGCAAGTTCGGACGAGTCTCCTTCCTTAGGATAGTCTTTCCCCTCTAGGAAACTTGCCACGAACTTTCGTTCCATCTCCTCTGCCGCGGTCATAATCTGTTGCAGCGTATGATCGATGGGGGAGAACTGTTTTCACAGTTTCGCCCTTATCGTTCGGCTGCGAAGTCCATCGATAAACAAATCTCTCCCGACTTGCTCGCCCCGTTCAGTTTTCACAAACATTCGATAGAATCGGCTTCGATATTCCGCAATAGATTCGAGGGGTTTTTGCACCCAGTCTTTAATCATGAAGAGCGCTTGCTCTCGATGGACATAGTCGAATCGATTCAAAAAATATCGCTCGAAAGTCGGAAGATCCACCCATACATAGGTACTAAACCAATGATGAGCGTCTCCTCCTAATCGGGCGGGAATATTTACATAAGCTTCGATATCATCATACTGTTGTGCCCGAAGTGTGGCCAACCATGCTCCTGCGAGATGATGTGCAGGGTCAAACAGATATAGATCAGGTGGCGTCATGGGAGCCCGTCCTCGTGGGGCGGGTTGATTAGGATTTTGTTGTTGATTCTGCTGCGGATTCGGATTCTGTGGATTAGCGTTCATGTTGGCTGCCCGTCGATTAGCCGATCTACTTCGGGTGATGATGGGGTCGCGTCTATGTGCGTTCCGGGGTCGAGGTCGCTCTCGGTTAGCCAGATCGCTCAATTAGCATGATGTTAGTCCTATAACCTGGCCACGTGTCGGGCTCCGATACCAACCTCACGCCCAGCGCGACTTCCTGATCGGAGTGAAGTGTGGGCGTGGAAGTGCAAAAAGGGGTGTGCTTAGGATTTTTGGGAAAGTGGGGGTGGAGTCCCAGGTCAGAACTGAGATCTCCTGTGGCAGAGTTTTTCGGGGGCGCGGGTGCAATTTGGCAGAGAGGGCGGACCACTTCCGGTCATAAGGTAGATGGCATGAGCAGGTCATTCAAGGCCGCTCGATCCGTCCGTTTTGAGGATGACGATTCATCGAAAGGTCCATTCGGGGTGGATGTGATCCTGATGAGTCGGGTCGTCGGTTGTCGCCACGTGGCGCCGGTCATCGCGCATTCGGGTTGGGCCCTCGCGGTCCCGAGACTCTCTGGTTGCCGCGTCGTCGGCAATTTCCGCAGGGCGTGCGGGGCCAGTAGGGGGCTATGGCGTTCCACGGGACGACCCTGAGTTGATGATACGGGAGAAGAAGACGAAAGAGAGGGTAGTTAGTGGAGATAACGAAAAAAATGGGGGAAATAAAGTACTGGGTGTGGTCTGAAGTGGGGAAATCAGAGCACCGGGGATCGCTGGTTGTGGCACAGTGAAACTCCCTAGGACATAGTCGATTCTCTGTTCGGCAGGGGAACCTCTGTCGGAGGCACTCTTCTATCCAAGGGGTGAAGTACTCAGGGTCCCACGACGAATCTGAGCTCCCGGAGCGTGTCATTATGTCCTCGTAGAGCCGCGAAGTTCCTAAGGGCGTGTCTTCGTCGATTGCGATCACCGCATGTGAGTACGTGTAGGCCGCGCGAGTCGAATCGCACTTACACGTGTTCACACGGGATGATTGCTTTGTTGCCGACGCAGGATGGCAACATCCAATCAAGCAATATCCCCGCAATAATTAGCCTTTTTATGCGTGGGTGGTTAAGAATCGATGCGCGTGGACATATGTAAGTGCGCAGATCAGATCGCATTTACGCGCGTCCTTGCGAGGCGTTCGCTTGTTTCTGGGCAAACAGCTACGCGATCATTTAATCACTCCGTAATTTCTGAGCAACAATCACAACAGCTCAATCAAGGGATAAACAAGAATGAAAACAGTATTGATGACTACGCAAAATTCCTACCCTACTCATGAGTGCATCAAGATGATAAGCAAAGGCAAAGATCAGGCGTAGGGAAAGCAAACGGAATTATTTCCTTCGTTGTTTTATAACTAATCCACACTCTGGCGGTCAATCCTTTCCTCTTTGCTAGTGGGCCCTCTCCCCTGGAATTATTTCCTTCGTTGTTTTATAAATAATCTACATTCTTCTCTCAATCTTGTTTGTATATAGGGCCTCCCTGCACTACACTTCGATCTTGTTTGTAAATAGGGCACCTTCCCACTTATGGCCTCGCCACACCCCTCCCTCTCTCTCTCGTGTTTTTTTTTTTTTTTTTTTTTTTAAGTACTCCAGTTTATTCGTGGGGAGCAGCACGTGCTGGGAACCGTGCCCAGCGTCCCATATCAAATTGTACAGATCATTGAGAACATTTGAGATACCGGGCCATTACCCGGCTTCGACTGAGATCAGTCTGTGGATATCTAATGACCACACCA